TGCATGGGTATGCGAGCCGATCCGCATCAATCCGCAACATGTCCCAGGATTGGATGTACAAACACGGGGATGCTGTCGGAATGTTGCAGAAGCTGAAAACACTTGCGGGTTCGGAGATTGGAAAACCATGGAAAGCCGTGAGTCGGAAAACTGCAAAACATTGGAACACGGAGATTCGGAAACCAACAAAATGTGGATTCGATAGAACATCCCAAAATGGTAACCGCGACCTACAACCCTTTCACCCCGCCCCGCCTTCACGCCGCAAACTCATGCTTTAACATGCTTCAAAGTTTGGGATTTGCTGGTTTGGCGTTTGGGGCTTGGGAACCCTAAAACGCAAACTCCGAACCACCCAACCGCCAAACCCTTTTCCACAGGCTTGATTAGTGCTCGCCCGGCCAGAATCCCCAAGCAGATCGCACTCCTAAACCCTAAACACCAAAAAATTCTCTACTAATAACCCTTCAAGCCCCAAGCCCTGAGACCCTAAAGCGAGAACTCACCCCGCACTAAGACCTCAAGCATTAGCCTCGAGAATAACCCTTCAGGCCCCAAGCCCCAACACCCGAAAGGCAAACTCCGAAAAACCCCAAACACCAAAATCTCGACAAATCTGCTCAATTCGGCAATTTTGTCAAAACTGAGACACCGCAGACTCCAGAAAACCTCGATCACTGCTTATTCCGCAACCGGAAGCCCGGAACCCAAACGAAAACCCAGACCTTAGGACTGGAAGACCCAGGATCTCAACTCAAATCCCAAGACTGATTTTGTTTTGGCCCATGCGAACGGAAGCTTCGCGGGCTGATGAAGGCAAGGTCGTCCGCCGACTCCTTTGGTGGCTTATTCCGCAGGAGGATTTAGGTTGGGGTGTTGGTGGATATTTTTTGACCTTGAGGCCGAGAGTCTCGGTGCTCCGAAGTCAAAACCCAAGGACCGGTGTCGTCGTATTGGCTGCTGCTTTGCTTTGCGAGATCAGCTATGGCCCCTTCCCTTGTAAAAAGTCAGTGCAATCAATATTCTACTATATCTGACAAGCATTAATGATTAAGATGCTGACTAATTCTTCACTTTTGCTTTTCTTCTGAAAGTCTATGACTTTGGTGCTGTGTGTTTACAGTCTTTTGCAAAGCAGTTGGGTCATATTCGTCACAGAAGCATTTTCCCTTGTCAGTATCCACCTTCATTACATCTTATGTATTTCTAAACAGCGCTTGGCATCACGCCCTTCACCATCCGCCAGTAGACGAAACGACCCACCAGCTGCAAATGAACAAACCAGACCGCACAGGAACACACCAACTACAAACCAACAAGCACATTCAGGCCCTAACGCTGAACCACCCGTTTCCTGCACAGAAATATACATCCCCGCCTAGATCTCCCTGAAACCTGAAATAAACAACACCGAAAACCCAAAAACAGCTCTGAACCCAAACAGCACTGGAGAAGCTCTCCGAAGCACTCCTGAACCTGGAACAAACCTAAATCCAATCAATCCTGAAGCCTGAACGACCCTCAACCACTAACTAATCCTCAAGACAAACCAAGGCACTAAACAACCCTACACCCTGAAGAATTGTAAACCCTACAGAACCACAAAACCAGTATGCCCTAGTACCATATGGGAAATCTTCAAAAAACGTCTAAGCGGCAACGATTCAAGGGTGGGTTAAAGGGTGTCGAGTCAGGAGGGAAAAAAGAACATTACATTCATGGGGAATACCACAGCACAATAATGCTACTAGAAGTGTATGCCCACATCGCAGTCCCTAAGTGCCGTAAGACTTTCCGAGGGGTTCGGAACTGGTCACTCGTTCGTGGTCACTCATTCGGGTGTTGAGATGCTGCTCACTCTGTCATAGATCGGGGGCTCGGGGCTGAAGCCTCGGGAAAAAGCAGGGATACGGCAACACTAGCACGACTACATCGCAGCAGAAACACAGCTACGTAGAACAAGAAAGACAACAACCTGCAGTGTGTATCCCGGACAACTGACCATGCAACTGAGATTGGTCAACCGTCTCTGAAATCTGCTGGGTGGCAAAGCTGAGATTGGACCCGTAATCGTGCTTGGCGCTTCGGGTGTAGGAATACTTAGTATCCAGGTGGTTCTATGGAAGTGTCATAATTCTTAACAACAACCCCGAAAGTCTTATCAGAGTCCCCTTAACAGGAATTCTGAGACATGAAAGTTGTGGCAAGCAAATCTCGAAACGTCCCCACGGCAAGAGCTCGCACCGGCGAGCCGCAATGACTTACTTTGAAACACGAGGGACGGCAGATGTTTGCATGAAGCAGGGAAGGGAGCGCCATTGTGGCGAACAGCTGTAAACCTGTGTACTTCTTTGCCGGAACCCTAAACTAACCCTTAGCCTAAGCCGCAAGCGCCCCAAACCCCAAAGCCCTAAACCCGGTCCTGAAACTTGGGTTTGGGGAGCTCTACTCACTCTACTCAAATTTGAGCCGTGAACCCACGGCCCCTACACCACCTAAACCTGTACCACCCCAGATTGGTTTACCAGCTTACCAGATTCATAAGTGTATCCAGGGAGATACTCGTTTGACTAAACCCTTGTAAACCCTAAATCCTAACCCCTACAGCCTAGATCTAAACCCCTGCATCGCTAACCCCTGAACCCAAAACCCTAAGCCCTAGGGCGGGGAGGCCTTCTGACAGAAGGTGGCATTTCAAGCCAGTATTTGGAGCTACTAAGGCCATATGGGGCTGTGTTTAAGATGCGCATTTGTTTGCTTAATGTGCTGCAGGGCATGTGAATGTTGCCGACTCTACCACTCGGCTGAAGACAGCAGCAGGGAAGATCGAATCGCAAGTTGCCCATCAACCAACCATGGCCTGATGCCAAAGAACTCGGCATGCAGTTGCGCAAAGGTTATATTTTATGAGTCCATACAGTTTTATTTGCAAATGTATTCCTCAATCGGTTTGATGCCCATCACGCAGCGATTTCGTTGCGACGTGGGCGCACAGCAACTACGGACGTTTTGTGCCAGTCAGGAGACCGAGTAGGATCCACACAAAGTGAGACAAACTAGGTCCGTTTTTCTGGTATGATCTCACTGGTTGTGGGTGCAGCAGGCAACAAATGAAATGAATGAATGCTGTTTGTCCCCCTCGCAGCCCAAGGCAACAAGCAGCAGCAACGAGCGGCAGCTACCGACTTTTTGTTTTCTTGTATGCTCTGGCCCTTGTTTTGGGTGCAAAAGCGGGCAGCAGCAGCAGCAGCAGCAGGAGGAGGCAGCAGTACCTATTTTTTTCCAGTACGCTGTGGCCCTGGCCCGTTGGTGCAGAGCAGGCAACAGCATCAGCAGCCAGCGGCAGCAACAAGCAATAATCACCACTTCTTTTTGGCCCTGGCCCAGGTTTTGGGTGCAGAAGCGGGCCACAGCGGCAGCAGGAGCAGCGGCGGCAGCAACAAGAAGCAACTACCGTTTTTTTCCGTACGGCCATGGCCCGGTTGTGTACACAAGGGGGTCTTGTGGTGATCTGCTCGTGTTTGGGGTTCTACGCTGGCATACAGGGAAAAAATTCCGTTGCGCATTGATCCATGCTTGTTGTATGTATGTATGCATGTATGCTTGCCTGTATGTACAGAACAAAAAATGTGTGTATGTAAGTACGTATGTCTAGATGCACGCGTAGTTGTGCTTGAGCAAGCTTTTAAAGAAGACGAGGGCCAAAGGACATGTTAAGTTATGAGCCTCACCAACTATTTGTCGAGTTCTGATTCCAGGCAAGAGCATATTGTATGGTTCCTCGGGAGACGCGCCCGGTACTATCATAGGCAAAACAAAGTTATCTCATTCTTCATTTCTTTACCCGAGGTTGTAAGAAAGTGAGTACTTACGTGTGTACAACCTAAACTGGCAGAAACCAGGTCAGATGAAAAGTCCGGGAAAGATCTTCGGAGGGGTCTTGTCCAAAAACCCTTCTGAAGGAACATGGCATGCGGCCTGGAGGATAGGTAAAGGCACCCGTCACCGCTTCTCTTCTATTGGGTCCCATGAAGGGTTTGCTCATGGGAAGCGTGCTGGAATATCCTTTTCCATCTGTGAGCACCTCCTTGTGGGCACGCAGCCGCTTCGTCAATGAATTCAGTCTGCGTGCTTCGCTCTAGAACCTAAACCCTTCAAATCCAGACCCTGCAAGAAAAGCAAATAGCTGTAAGGACGGCGCAAGTGACCGAATCAACCCCGAACACATGCTAGAAGGAAGTTGCGACCTGCTTGATCCGAGGCCTAGGCCCTAGGCGGATCTACTTAGAGTATGCTTTCCTCGCTCAAGGCTAGGATGCCCTAGGAATTGATCCGTGAACCACAACCCGCAACCCAAGGCCCGATGCCGGTCAGTACCGGTCTGCAGCCGCAACTGCCACTTCTTGGGCAGGCGGCTAGCGCGGCAAACATTATATCATTAACAGACCAAATGAATCAAGTTTCGACGGACCACGGATGGACACGTGCAATCACTTGGTCCGCAAGTTCAAACACACTCTTCGAGAACAGAGACTGGCCGCTAAGCTCTACTGGAGCGAACTGTACACTGCAGCATCTCTATGCACATGGCAAGCTCTAGGTGACCTAGGCGTCTGTAACGCGCTGGGGCTCCGGCATTGCTATTGGCCTCCGTCCGCACCCATCTCCTCGCTTCTCACCTCCAAGAGTTGGCGTCCTTGGTGCTTGCCGAATTATGTGGGAACCCTATAACATATGTAATAATATTTCATCTCTAAAATATTTGTCCTAGCATTTTCTAACTTTTACGGAAGCACAGGAAAAACTTTTACGGAAGCACAGGAAAGGTCTCTAGTCACTCTAGTCCATCTTGGTCATGCTATGTGGACGCTCGCAGCTCAGATTCTGCAGGCGAGGGGACGGGCTATTCAGGGGTTTGGAAGGGTCCGCGACTCGGCGCACATCGGAGCATGATTTCGAGCAAGCCTGCGAAATAGAGGTCCCTCTCCTACAGACCATGACTAGTATGGCAACCACAAGCGACCCCACCGGAAAAAGGCCTGATTTACTGACGGCCGTTCTGGCAGGACTCTGCACCAAGGTGGGCAGCCCCAACACCGAGGACAGCCAGTACACAATGGTACCCACTTCCTGCTTCAGAGGATATTCTTTGGCAGTGAATCATGTAGGAGAGTCACTAGGAAGACCATACAAGGAAAAATGAGTCATTGAGCCTAGCTTCATAGAATAAGGCGGCACCCATATGCACCAATCTGCACATGGGCACTTAGACTTCCAGGGTGTGGTCGTGGTCGTAGTCTCGGGCACAATCGTAGTCGTAGAGGCTGGCACGAAGCTTGTCGTCACATCAGGAGTGCTGGTCACCGTGGAAGCACTGATGGTCGTGAGCGTGCTTGTACTTGCATCAGTCACCTGTCATGCTTGTTCATCAAACCTCCGAAACCGATGAGATCTAAGAGGAGGCTCAATTCTAAGTACTTTTGAAGCCCTCACCGCCGTCACCAAGCTCTCAGGATCTCTCAGGAAAACATGTTTCACAACCTTGGGCCCGAAGATGCCCGAAGCCGAATCGCTTCGTAGTGTGCCCTCCAGCCAAATGACACAAAAATCATAAGTTGAATTGCCGCTATAGGTACCATGCAATCCGTGCCCTAGCGAGGGCGAGCGAGAGAGAGAGAGAGAGAGAGAGCGAGCGAGGGGGCACACCTGTCATTTGTGACTCCCTATTTCTGTCATTTGTGACTCCCTACGTTCCTGCCTCTTGGCCAGGTAAATCCCCGTCATTTGTGACTCCCTCCGCCTGGCATCACCACACATCACCTCACCCGAAAGTGTTCTTATTCATTGGCAGGCCTGTGATTTCTTCTCAAACAAGCGCCTGTCATCTGTGACTCCCGACCCTTTTGCCTTGCTTTTAAATGTTATTTTCACACAGCAACACGGGTCATCTGTGACTCCTCGCTTTTTCTTGCTCTGGCCATCTGTGACTCCCTACTTTTTCTTGTTTTGGACAGGTTTTCCTTTTCGGTCGAAGCTTCCTGCTGGATTCATTCCTTCGGGTCACTCCTTAAGGTGTTGTCTTCGATAATAGGTTCCTGCTGGGTTCACTCCTTAGGGCCTTTGTCTTCGATGAAAAGTTCTTCTTGGATGCACCCCTTAGGGTTTCACCTTGGGCAAAAGGTGCCTGCTGGATTCACTCCTTAGGGTTTTGTCTTCGGTAATAGGTTCCTGCTGGGTTCACTCCTTAGGGTTTTCGTCTTCGGTAATAGAATGTTGCTGGGTCCTTAGGCTCGTCGTCTTGGGTGAAAGGTTCTTCTTGGATTCACCCTTTAGGGTTTCATCTTCGGCAAAAGGTTCATGCTGGATTCACTCCTTAGGGTTTTCGTCTTCGGTAATAGAATGTTGCTGGGTAGACTCCTTAGGGTCTCCGTCTTGGGTGAAAGGTTATTCTTGGATGCACCCCTTAGGGTTTCGTCTTCGGCAAAAGGTTCATGCTGGGTCCACTCCCTAGTGTTTTCGTCATCGGTGCTAGATTCACTCCTTAGGGTTTTGTTTTCGGTAATAGGTACCTGCTGGGTTTAATTCTTAAGGTTTTCGTGTTCGGTGAAAAGTTCTTCTTGGATTCACCCCTTAGGGTTTCACCTTGGGCAAAAGGTGCCTGCTGGATTCACTCCTTAGGGTTTTGTCTTCGGTAATAGGTTCCTGCTGGGTTCACGCCTTTCGGTCCTCGTCTCGGGTGAAATGTTCTTCTTGGATTCACCCCTTAGGTTTTCATCTCTGGCTAAAGGTTCCTGCTGGGTTCACTCCTTAGGGCCTTCGTCTTCGATGAAAGGTTCTTCTTGGATTCACCCCTTAGGGCTTCTACTTCGGAAAAAGGTTCATGCTGGATTCGCTTCTTAGGGTTTTGGTCTTCGGCGCTGGGTCATGCTGGGTTCACTCCTTAGGTCTTTGTCTTGAGTCAAAGGTTCTTCTTGGATTCACCCTTTAGGGTGTCATCTTCGGCAAAAGGTTCATGCTGGATTCACTCCTGAGGGTTTTTGGTCTTCGGTAATAGGTTCCCGTTGGGTTCACTCCTTAGGGTCTTCATCTTGGGTGAAAGGTTTTCGTGGATTCGCCCAACAGGGTTTCATCTTCATCTTCGGCGAAAGGTTCCTGCTGGATTCGCTCTTTTGTGTTTTTGTCTTCGCTAAAAAGTTCGTGCTGGGCTCACTCCTCAAATTCTGCGCTGAAAAGCCCATCTTCGGCACAAGGTTCCTGCTGGATTCGCTCCTTAGGGTTTTTGTCTTCGGTAATAGGTTCCTGCTGGACTCACTCCTTGTTTCGGGTTTGTTAGGCAGTACTAGAGGCGTAATATATATATATATATATATATATATATATAGATACATAGATAGGTAGATAGATAGATAGATAGATAGATAGATAGATAGATAGATAGATATATAAACACATACATACACACATACATACATACAGACTGCGAAAGTACAACGTACTAGAAAGCGCACCAAACTACCCTAAAGTAGATGTTACGCAAGCTCACTCGACTGAAGCGCAAAGTACCCTGAAGTTCAGCAGCGCCTTTCTCTCCACACAGCAAAGTGTGTCTTGAGCCAACAGCGAGGTTGGCAAAGCTGTTGGCAAAGTCTCTGGGAGAAAGGGGACGTCCGGGGACGTGTTATTTTCACACGCCTCCTCGAGAGTAAAGTCCTTACTTTATTCTCGCAAAGTACAATAACACGTAAATGTGTACATGTACATATGTGAGCGCACCGAAAAGTTTTGCGCGGCAGCTGGAGAAAAGTGGCAAAGAAGGTCTCCTATCTACAACCTCCCAAAAGTTGCTTTCCAAAAGAAAGTCGTGGTTCAAAGTAACGTGTGCGCACGGCACATCAAAGTGCAGCGTGGCGGTCGGCCCATTAAAGTGCAGCGACCAATTGGCACCATGCCAAGCATCAAAGTGGATCCAACCCAAGATGGGCGAAAAGTGATCCATGCATATGGCTCAACCCTTTGCAGAGGGCGAAAAGTAGCCAATGGAAGCCAGAAAGTCAAAGTCGAGGACGGGCAGCCAATTGCCACGGCTCCCGTGGGACCTGGTCCCAAGTCTGGCTTTGGGTAGCTGCATTCCAAAGTCGGCGTTGAATAGGTAGATGGTAAAGTATCCACCAAGGCGACTCCTCTCTGCTGAACATATTGTTCAGCTGGTCACACAGAAAGTAACCATCTCTACCCGGGTGACAAAGTATCACCATTGACTGCAGCATGCAGCGCCGATCATCATTTGCAAAGTTGAGCAAAAGTTGCGAATCTCTTGGAACTGCTAGAAAGTAGTCCAGATAACGGCGGTTCCATACTTGAAAAGCATTCGTCAGGTATTGGAAATACCTCAAAGTTGGCCGGAAGCCAACGGTGCAAAGTGCACCGACATTGGGATGTCGAATACCAGATCGAAGCTGTATGCTGAGGCCGAAACTGAAAAGTAAAAGTGCACTCCTGGGGCTCCAGGACCAGTTCCAATGGCCCTCCGACCAAAAGCTGTCGGCACCAGAAAAGTGTAAGGATCCGCCCGAAAGTAGGGTCTGCATTTTCATATTCATCATAGCCACCGGAAAAGTTGTCCATAGCATAAAGTTGCAAAAGACCTGTGGTGAAAGTGTGGCCGGGACACCCATCAACATGGTCTGAAACACCCACTGAAAAGTCGTGGCTGCAATGAGCACCTGCTCTGGTGGCGTGTAAAGTCCAGGATGCTGTCGCCCAGGGTACAAAGTCTGCAGAACCATCTCGGCATTCGGTCCACCAGGGTAAGGTGTACCTGTGTGCCAAAGTTGTTCCAGCTGCCTGCCATTCGCAATCATCTGTATGAAATCACTTGGGTAAAACGTGATACAATACATAGAAAAGTTCGCTGGCGGCAAAATGCCTTGATCATCCTGAGGCAAAGTGCCTTCATTTCCGGGCCTAAAGTGTGGCGCCCAGTACTCATCCAGCTTCTTTGGCGCCATTTCAAAGTCTCGCTTTGTGCAAGAGCGTCACCCAAAGTGACAGATAATAAAGTCGCTCCCGCGACCTTTGTAGATCAAGGAGAACCAAAGTCTCCGCCAAAGTCAGGATCGGCAGGGACCTGTAATCCACAAAGTCACTGGCCTTAGCCAAAGTAATATCAGACAAAAGTCGCTTGATAAAAGACAAAGTCTCCAGCTCGTCCTGAAGACGCCAAGACAAAGTCTCTTGGCTCAGGGGATACAGCCGAAGGTGTCCGCAAAGTCGCTGCAATCGCGTTGCAGAGGCACTTGGCAGATCAAAGTCGTGCACCAAGCGCGCGCAAAAGTCGACCAAGACAACAAAGTCTCGGCGCTCCATCTGCGCATGTCCGGTTCCATCTGATAAGCAAAGTCGAAGTGAAACGGGCAACGTAGAGCGAAAGTGGCGACGAGAGGCGCAAAGTTAAACCAAAACCCAAAACAAAACCCGAACACCCTGAAAGGGAAAGTCGAGTGGGCTTACATATGTACATTAAAAAGTGGTGCGTTCGCACCGGAGAATCATCATCGAAAAGTCATCCACCATAACGGTTTCACGGTAAAAGTTTCTTCCTTTTCGGAACGGAGAAAACAGAAAACTGAAAAGTCATCATCAAAGTTGGTTCCGGAAAAATGAAAGTTCCTAAGACGAGCGAAAGTCGAAGACATGTCGAACTGCACAAGCAAGCAAAAGTACATGTCCGCACAAGCATGAAAAAGTACATGTCCGCAAGAACGTGATTCTCTCAACTCTCAAAGTCCTCTTCTTTCTCGTTTGGGATCTTCTGGGGAAGATGATGAGTGGCAAAGTCCAACCCGAGACGGGGTGGCTAAACCTCAAACCCGAAAGTTGGAAGGTGGCGGTGCAAAGTATCCTTCGCGATGTACTTCGTAAGGATATCTGCTGGGTTCAAAGTACCAAGAACTTTCTTGATCCTAACCATACCAGAAGCAACGAGCTCTTGCACATAAAGATATCGTAACTCTACATGCTTCGTTTTACGGCTTGCGCCGAAACGTGAGGCAATACTCTTGCCAACGTTGCTGTCTGTGAAAACACAAAGGTTAGCCTTCTGAAAGATCTTGCTCTCTTCCACCAAAGACCTCACGAAAAGAGCATCTGCAGTACCAGAGCCTATAGCGTAAAGTTCTGCCTCTCCGCTCGAGAGGGCTACGGTGGCCTGGGTCCTGCTGTGCGAAAGTATATTCGCCCCGAGCACAAAGAGGGAAACTCCTGAAGTGGAGCGTCGGGTGTCATGGCATCCTGCCCAATCGCTGTCAACAAAAATGTTGATATCTATTGCTTTGTGCTGCGGTGAAAGTGAGAGGGTTGGTTGCAGTTTCTGCTCAAAGTGCTTTGTTCCTGCCAGGTACTTCAAAAGATGC